GACAGTTACTCTGAGTCCAAAATAACGCCTCGAGAACTAGACTGAAACCCATTCTCACCACAACGATGGACAGGTTTTCCCGTTTCCTGGTTGGCTTTTTACTTTTTAGCTCTTAGCTGGTTTCTTGGTATACGTTCAGGGCTGCCGTGTCGTTGTGTCCTTCGTAGAGTCCAGTATACGATAGCGTCGCTCATCAACCCAACTGATGGATGCCACTTGGTTGCTTGGGAGTAATATTATAATGTTTCAATATTTCCTCATGTCCAAAACCAACAAATTCAGTCGTTGAACTCGAACTTTCTATCGTTTTCCCCGCGATAGTGCATCTGTCAGATGGGCCAAAATCACTCATTTTTTTTGCTCTAGTGAAGCCAAATCGCGTACAAAAGCGCCTCNGCCGTGTCGTTGTGTCCTTCGTAGAGTCCAGTATACGATAGCGTCGCTTATCAACCCAAATGATGGATGCCACTTGGTTGCTTGGGAGTAATATTATAATGTTTCAATATTTCCTCATGTCCAAAACCAACAAATTCAGTCGTTGAACTCGAACTTTCTATCGTTTTCCCCGCGATAGTGCCTCTGTCAGATGGGCCAAAATCACTCATTTTTTTTGCTCTAGTGAAGCCAAATCGCGTACAAAAGCGCCTCCGGCGGGGCGCCTCCAGCGGGGCTCTCCGGGGGCGCCTCCGGNCCGTTGCTGTGAAACTACATACCATAGCAGCAGTAGTATGTACCTCACATTAACCGCAAATCAAATGCATCTGCAAATAAATGCTTGGTGAAACCGACAAGAATAAAACGGCAGCAGCAATGAGAGAAAGTAGTCTACTTGTAGCAGCTTGCAAGTCTAATTATTTTCTCGTCCGATGCATCCCACACCACATACATGCTGTCCGCTGCACGCTCCATCCACAATAATAAACGAAGGATTCGGCATAATAGCCGTGAATCCGTGCAAAAAAGGGTACACGGGGGTATAGCTATATACAGGGTGCAAAGAAGAGAGAGAGAGAGTGGCAGAAGCTTTTGGGATCCTTGGGAAGCCGAGGACCTCGAAGGGAAAAGCGTTGCATCGCCCGCGAAGGCAGTGCAGCAAAGCAGCAGCGAGATAATAATAGAGTTTTCGTTTGGGACTTGATCGAATTTTCCCACCCACCCACCCTGTCGCTCAAGAGAGGAGGGATCAATGGGAATAGAAAAATCTGTCTAGCACCGAATTTGTTTTCCAATTTGCGTTGATTTTTGCGTTTTCTTGTGAAGGGATATGACCTGGGCATAGACGTCGGGTTGGCCCGATAAGTGATACATAGTGAGTCCGAGAAGTCAGTGGTTCGGCTCATAGGTTGGATTTTGGTTTTTTTATACTTTTTGGTTTCGGCGTTTCTGATTTCTTGTCGCTTTTTCAAATAATCCGAATTGAATTTCTTGAGCAAAACACAAAGCCGCGGTCGTCATCTATCTATCTATCCACTCGCACTGCTGCTCTGCTGCTGCATTTTTTGTGTACGCATAGACCATATATTATGATGTACATGTGTATGCAAGCTGCTGGTTGGTGCACAGGGGGGGGGGGGGGGNTTCGCGCAACGTGCGCACCTTCGAAACGTTCTACGCTGTACGAAATGAAACTTGGAATTCCTCGAAAAATTCACAACTTACTTCGCTTTGGCGCCGACAGCCGACAGACACACAGCAGCGACAACTATTGCTGCAGCTGCCTCACTACAGTCGGACGCTGAGAAACCACCGACCCAAACGCACGTGGCACATACGAGAGGAGTCGAGGCATCTCATCAGCAGAGGCTTTCTGTGAGTCGAAGGCACCGGCGGTCATTGCCGCGGGAGAGCACGGAGAGGACACAACGGGCAGCGGTGAGTGGGCCCCCCCAAAACGGAACGAACAACCGGCAGTCACTAAATAGAGAGGGGCACGAAGTTTTGGTGTCCAGCTTTGCTTTGGGTGGTGATAATTGCTTGTTTGTAGGCTTGCACGCCCACCGTCTCCCTCGTTCTCGCTTGCGTCGCGAAGATGCTTGGCTGACACGTGCGTGGTTAACTTGTAGAGAGTCGGCGCAACCGAAAAAAAAGTGAACCCACACATTGCGACCAACACAAATTCTTCGCACCACCCGCAGGCTGATCTATTGAGTCTTATGCATAGAGTTCGTTGTTGTTTCCCACATTAGCTCTTTAGTCCATATGTATGCTTCGCTAAGTAGACAGGTTGTAGAGGGGCAACTTATGATACGATCGCATGCGTAGGCATATATGCATATGGGTTCTACAGCCTGTGAACTCTCGATCGTCGTCGTCGCTCTACATCAGCAGCAGATGTACTGCTGTAGGCAGCCAAAAAACAGCAGCAGCATCAGCAGCAGGCGATCTATAGTCTAGTCTATGGTTGGTTCCTGCGATGAGCAAGCAAGCACCGTCCATACTGCACACTTCCGAAGGCTGACGAGCATGGCATCACCTAGATGCAGACTTTTTCTTGGCCATGTGTACGTGTTGGCTCTCAACACTTATCATTGTCTTCGGGGCTTCACATGTAAATTGTGTGCATTACAAGTCTACTATTGTGTATGTATGCGTAAGTAAATTGAATTCTGCCCTTTCTGCTGTAAGTTGCTGTACTCTACAGCAGTGAATTTGTAGTGCCGCCGCAGTCTAGGGCTGCAGCAAAAAAGCGGGTTCGGTTCGAAGGAGGGCAGGTCGTGATTCCCTACTATGAAGCTGGTATGGATATGCTCCCTATACACATGCATGTTGACTGTATCTGCCACTAGCAGCGCTACATGCCTGTTTGTGGAGGTCAGGATATGGATTATGTAGATCAGCACGGAAAAGATGGAGATACTGGGCAGAGAGATCGGAACGCGGTTGTGAAAAGACGACGTCAGCAAAACTTGAAATCAGCGCTCGCATCGAATCTGTGATCACACCGAAGGCTTACGCCCCCCCCTACTCACCCCTTCCTACGGTGCCTGCCTTCGAAAGTAAACGCGATAAGAGTGCAGCACTCTCTTCCCTCGATAGTAGACACCCGAGCTACAGCGCTTTCCACAACCACAGGAGCAGAAGGAGTACGAACCTGTACCATGGACAACAAACCATGGATAAACAAAGAGAAGCTCCGACGTACGCCCGTACTTGAAGTTGTTATACGAAAGGGCCCAGAAAGTCAACAGTACAGGTCGCGGTAGATTCCCGTGGTAGTAGGCTAACTTAACCTGAAAAAGTGATTTGCCAAAAAAACGCTCCGAGAATGCACACCTTAAACGCTTGTTGTTACAGTTACCCTTTGATTTTTTCTTTAGGAGGGTGTGAGAAGCATCCTCCTTTATTCTTGTTTTTGTTTAATTTCGATTGGCTTCCGAGGGCTCTTTTCTGGAACGGTCGGTGCGGTACCTGTTATTTCCTTTTTATCGTTTTGTTTTCTTTTTCCGAGTGGTTTGTACCCTATTTTTTGCGAGAAACAACAACAGTACATAGCCTTCCGGGCCACGGAAGTTGTCGCCACCGTCGGTTTGCTGGACTACAGCAGTATAACAGCAGTACAGATCGAAATGGGAGACAATTAACAAGGACAGCACGATAACAACAAACACGATAACAACAACAGCAAACATTTTAACCGGCGGGGGAGGCGTACTGCTGTACCGAACATACTCATTACATAAAGTACAGGAGTGTAGGCGATTTCCAGAAACGCTCTCTATGTATCTGGGAAACATCGCAAGTAAAGCGTGAGCAACAACGAATGCATGGCGGGTGTGCTGGGTGTGGTCTATCGACGTCACAACAATGATCTAGTACCCATTTGTTGGAAGTAGCTGCTGATGACGGCACATGATGGATGAATCACGGGTCCCCTCCCATACATAGAGGTCCAACGTTGTTAGTAAACCTGATCGACTTCATAAGTCGCGAGGCAAGGGATTGCTGTACCCTTCTCGCGATAAAAATATCTCAGGCAGGAACCGCAGGAGAGGGTCCAACCCCCCCCTCCTATGTGACCCCCGTTGGGTCGTCTAGCTGGTAGAAGTGAAGGATAGGGGCTGAAACACATTGTGCCAGCCAAACTCCAATCAATCAAGACCACCGCTGGAAGAGACAGATTATTCTGTAAGACTGAAACACTTTGTGCCAGCCAAACAATTCCAGGATCTGCCCTTGTCCATGGTGCTCACCTCTGTTTCTGTATACATACCCTATCGCTCAAAAGTCACCAATTTGGTCTGCGCCAACATGATGAAGCTGGCCAGCATGCTGTGCGGGACCACCACCGATTGAGGTTGACTGCCTAGAGTTCAGCTGTACTTAGAGGCAAACATTCCTAGCTATTGGGCATCGAGTTAATTTGGCTTGGCATGACGGCCTTTACGATCGACTTTTTATGTATGTCTGCATTTATCTGCAGTTGTCGGAGGGCAAACAAAATAATTATAATACAATGTGCCATGGTGTGCGGCAATCATCCAGACTGTGGTGTTTCTGAGCATGAGCATCGCCAAATGGTCCGGTTGTACGAAACATGCCTTGGTATGCCATGTCCACCTGCACCTGCGCCATATGGTCCGCTGGTCGCTGGTCGGCTGTGGAATGAAGCGGTTACTCGTCGGATCCATCCGATCCGTGGTTCCGCCCACCCCTGCTGTTGCTGAGGGCATGTTGTTTGAGACCGCCACCACACTGGCATGTCGTCAGACAAGTGACCACACACCAGACACGAAGGTTTGGCTTGCAGTGAGGTGTAAGCCATGTTGGTGCACGGTGGAATGAATCATCGCCCCGGATCGCGGAGGAACATTGATATTTGCCCGCCGTCGTCGGATCATGGATCGTGCGTCGTGCCGAACTTCTTTCGTGCTGTCGACATGGACTACTGTATAGGACCGTTATAGCACCGCCATGTCTTCAACGCACACCCGCTGGCCAATTGGCCAACAACGTATGTAGGTATGTGCATGGACACGTACGTGTCGTGCGGGAGGGTGGATACATAGCCTATTGGATATGGCAATGTCGCGGTTCCAGTTTTTCCGGTTTTGGTGGTGTGGTGGTATGTGGTGGTGTGTGGTGTGGTGGGGGGGTTGTTTGGATACCCCCCCGGGTGTTTGTTCTTTGAGTTTGTGGAAAGAATAAGAAACAGACACTGCCGTAAGACTGAATGTGATATTCTACTCAACCTACGATAGTTTTCATGCGCAGGTTCTTGCATGTTTCCAAGTGGTATACTGGTACGTGCTTTGGAGCAAAGTCTGCACGCCAGACGAGAGAAAGTTTAAATTAACTTACCGTCCCAACCCCAAAACCCAAACCCTACAACATTCATTTTGTTCAGCGCGGCCTTGGTGATGATGGCAGCGAAAAAATGTTTCATTACTACCACCGGAAAGTGGTGTACATTCTACAACACCCCCCACCCCCCCCTCATGGTCGGCAAACCAACGCTCCGTGCAGCCTGCCCATATGAATACATCGCAAAGGTGCCAGCAGTTTTCTGGTTGGCTAACTCTGTTTGAAAGGAACATTTTTTGCATGCGATTCTTGGTGAGAAACCTGTGGCCGATCGGGTTATGCTATGCGCAACAGCCGCACGGGGGATTTGACTCGGTGTATCGGCAGCGGGATGTTTTGCTGTTGTCTTGTCGTCGGTTACCGCGGCGAATGCTCGTGCACCGCCGATTTTTTTAAGCTACAATACCCACGCCCCCCGCACCGTGAGCTGGATGCAGCGCACCCATCATGCGACCCGCCGAATAAATCACGGCGCTTCGCGCTTGATGATGTGAGAGCCTGGTCCGGTGAGAACCCGACGTGCTCCGTCCCGGCTTTGTAGGGATGTGAGGTCAATGGTCTAACGACTACGGCACGCATGGCTATGAGTACAACCCCCGTCCCCCCCCCCCGGTGTTTGCCATCGGGGTTGGGTTTTCGTCGCTTGGCA